GAAAGCCATGTGCCACATCATCAGCAAAACCCTAAACCCTGAACCCTACCAAGGAGCTACCATACCAGGTCTCCAGTGAGGTCGACGCGATCGGTGCAGCAGTCCGCGAGGGGCGTGCAGAGCAGGCTTGGTTAGGGGGACGACACGGGAGTTTCCAAAAAAAAAAGGGGCACCTTAGTTTTGGGGGGTCCCTTATAGTAAGGATCCTACCTGTTTGGGGTACTATATTAGGGTTCAAAATAAGGGGTACTTTAGTTTGGAGGGTCCCTTATAAAAAGGATCCTACTATTTAGGGTACTATTTTTTGGTGTCCCCTATTTTCGGAACCCCCCCACACCTATCCACTGCGACTGCGACTTTCAGCTGCCGCTGCCGTCAGCGCAAACCAACTCGGGGATGCCGATTCTGGTTGCAACTTCTGACCGTAACAATGCTCGTGCTGCCACTCCTCGATACGAGTCACGACGGCGGCCGGTGCCAGCTGAGGCCACCGAGTGGCTAGCGCCCATTCACGAAGCACGGCTCCGACACGACGTGAAGCTGCCCCTGACTGCTGCCGTGGTGCAGCTTCTGAACTCCGTGATCCAAGAGTACGGCTGGCTGTTCCGAGCCCTTCAGCTGCACCTGAGGAGTGAGGAAGTCACCCTAAATCCGAAACCCTCGACCTCCAACAAACAACTCGCATCCTAAACTCTGACCCTTCAACCCCAAAGGGGCTCTTTCTATTAATTCGTTTCTTGGTGTGCCGGTCTATAAAGTCTATAGTCTACATAGCCTGTAGTCTGGAGGATCAGGGTTGGTTGGTCCGTTGGCTTTGGAGCTTTTCAACCCTAAACCCTGAACATCTTGTGTAGGTAAAAGTCGAGGATTGGATACAGTTACGCCTCGTGTGAGTTGGATGAGGCATTTGTCGGGGACACCGCGAAGCTTATCGAACTTGGCGCTATCGTCGCTTTCCCAGGTGGGTCGGTTTAAAGACTCTGCGGGTTTGAGACATCTGTTTTTCCGAGCTGAAATGGAAGTCGCATGCAGCTGACACGAGCGGGGCCATCTCCTTTCAGCAGCATCTCTTTCCAGCCGTCGCAAACAGAGCATTCTTTTTCTAGCTCGCGAGGAGTAAACTGGACAGCCCACATGGATGACTGAAGTCAGAGGATCGCTTCATCCGTTTCGACAACAGCTTGGACTCCACTTCACCGAACATTCGCACACGCGAAGTTAATCCCAGGCCAGCACACTAAACCTGGGCTGCCATATCTTCTGCCCTGCCAATCCATGCCCCTGTTCAGACCGGGCGAAGACCTTGGTCATTTCCAGTCAGTTAGTTGCGATTACGCCATGCATGGGATCAGGGTTCTTCAGGGTTCATGTCTCAAATCTGCTTTGGAGTCAGAACTTAGTGCCAATACTTGCGGCCTCAAACAAACGTCGAGTGGATTCGTGTTTGTTGTTACCCGTCTTCATCTTGATCACCACCGTGTCAAAGGGGTCTTATCCGAAAATAGATCCACACCCCCAGACCCGCGCCCTCGACCCGCAGCCCTCTGAAAGAAGAAAGAGTGACCTTGAGGTGCTCCTAGACCCTGCCGAATATGGAAACCTCGCAGAAGCTAGTTAGAGTTCACCCAGAAAGACATGGAATTCTGCTCCCGCCAAGCAAAGACAACCGAACCTTGAGGCATTCTCGAAACCCCGAATCCCTGAAGCCTGAACCCCTAAACTTCCTCAACCCGAAACTACTAGGTAAATCCCTAGTGACTTAAAACTCTTCAGCCTTCTCCGCACAACACAAACAGACAGAGCACAAGCAAAGTCTCGAGGTGCTCCCCCACAGCCTTGGCATTCGGATGTGGACTTCGACGACGGAGACCGCGCTGAAATCATACAGGCGGGCTCGTGCCGGCCGGGAAAAGTCCGAAATTTCAGCATCAAGGCCGGCCGCCCCCAAAAGGCGCAAGGGCACTTCATAGGGCTCTTAGAGGCTATAAACCTCAAGCAGCATCATCATCCTAACAGGGTTGCCAGGATTATTGCAAATGTGCCTCTGTCTATGTATCTGGCAGCCTTTGCGGTTGGGGTTAAAACCTGGCGGCAGCACTTGGAGGTGGCTAGCTGAAGTCTCTGCCCATGGGCCTATGGGCTCCTGTAAGGTCTCGGGCCGATGATTCACAAAAATGTCCGTCTAAGTCCCTGAGAACGCTGAAAGGCTTCCGTGCACATGGGCTCAAGCTTCGTTTCTTACGGTTTCTACTCTGCCCAAACCCCGAACCCCCAAGCCCCCGACCCCAAAAGCAGTATCGTCTGCAGACCTTGCCTGGCCTTGTCCAAAAATTGGCATCAAAATCCTCACAGTCTTCCCTAAGCCCCACGTCAATAAAAGCCGATTCAGGCGCTAAACTTGAATCAGAGAAGCCCACGGGCCGTGAAGCCTGTCAGGCCTTCGTCGCGCTCCAGGACATCTCAGAGACACATGGGCCCACCCAGGTGGAGAGGGTTTGGAGTTTACAGTAGGGTGTCTCAGGGTGTTGGGTTTAGGAAGGTCGCAGCCTTGGACCTTTTAGGCTTTATAAGGCTTTCGACACGGCTGTTGAGGGTTTAGCATTTAGGAGTTGTGGTGTAGGGCATCGGGTCTTGGTATGATGATTAGCAAGACCATTCCTCTAAAGATCATGTGCGCCAGCCAAAGGCCCTATTCTAACTACCAAGACCCCTCTTTTAAATCCGATTCCTAGGCCCCACATTGGCTAGCCAAAGCCCTCGGACCCTTCTGTATATCCCTAAACCCTAAACCCTTGCCTCAGCCCCTAAGCCCTAAACCCTAAACCAATAAGCCCTAAGCCCTAAGCCCTAAACCCTTGCCTCAGCCCCTCCCTCGAGTGTATCGGGACCGGTTCCCAACTTCCAACCTCCAGGGGTTTGTGCAGGTTTTTCACTCGATGGAAAGCTTGGGGGCCTTTGGAGCTTCGCTGATCTTTGGGGTTCTGAAACGGTTTGGCTTCGAAAGATCAAGGTTCAGGGTTTAGGGTTTATAAGACTTCAGGGCATCTTCCGAGCCTGGAGTTTCGTGTCGAGGGTTCAGAGTTCCTGACAACTCCTGGAAAGGTGCTGGTGGGCTCCCACACGCGCAGCTTCCACCGCTCGTGGCAGGAGGCATGGGGTTCTCGATAGAGCTCGCCGGCCCAGTTCAATCCCAAGATTTCAACCCTAAGCTCTGGGGTCTACTAGCGAGAACCTGAACCCCAAACGGTCTACACCCTCAATCGTAAGAACACCTTAATAAAGCCGGAACCTCAGACCCGGTGCTAAACTGTTTGTTTGTCATTGCCGGATGTAGAATTCAGGCTGGGCACGGGGACTACTGATTTAGCGCCAAACGCTTAAAGTGTTAGCTCTTGTTTAAAGGGTTGTCAGGTTTGGGAGTTTGACAGTTGTGGGCCCGAAGCTCGCACAGAACCTGGCAGCGGGGGTCCAGCAGAATTTCACTCCCCTATGAAACGGAGCTGTTATGCATCCATGTTTGTTGGGAAATAGGGCCGCCGCAGAGCTTGGGCATCTTGTGCAGCTCAAGCGGCCAGTCCCAAAAACGACCAAACAGCGGATTGCCTTTAAAAGGTGTGCGCTGGGTGTAGTGTAGAGTTTAGTGTTGTATTCAGGGTGTGGGGCTCGGGTGCTGAATGCAGTGTTTAGGGTGTGTGGTGTAAGGTGTAATGGCCCAGTGGAGTGCATTCAACTTTGAGGGATCAATGCCCTTAGACCCCCACCCCATGTTCTGATCCCAACAGTCTACATCCTAGAACCCGAGCCCGAACCGTAAACCCTAACACCAAGCAAAACAAAGAACGTCGCCACAGAGCCCCCCAGGCCAAACCGGACCCGGATGAGCTCAAGAGGCGTCGCTTCGGCGGTTCTCGGGTTTAGGGTTCAGAGTCTCTGAGAGTCCTGGATGCAAAAGGGTTCAGAGTCTAGGCCTGCAGGGTTTGTAGTCGGGTTTAGGGTTTAGGGTTTAGAAGTCTAGGCTTGTGGGGTTGCAGTGTTTTTTTCTTCCGGATTTTCAGGGCCAAGGGCTTGAGTTACTGGGCTTCTAGGCTAAGTCCTTTGTCAGCGCCTGCAGTGCCTTCCCCTTGGGGCACTGATGGCAGGGAGTCGTTGACGCTGGAAGCAGGGGCATTGGCACTTATGGCTGCTCGGCTGAAGATTCCACTGCTTAGGGCTGGGGTTCAAGGCTGGGCTGCGGGATTTCAGTGCCAGGATTTCCGGCCAAGTGCAAAGAGTTGCGTTTGGAGTGCGCTTTCTGTGCCCTGAGCATGTTCGAAGACAGTTTACCCGAATAGCTGGTAAGAATCCAGATCCAAAGGCCAAAACCCACTTGCCCGGAAGTTGTGGTGCGGTGGTGACTGTTGCCGAAGTCAGTTCTCGTGGCAAGGCCGGCCATGCGTACCATCGGGGCGCCGGGAACATGTCTGCAGTGCCGCGCCGGCTGCTGCACTTTGCATTCATGGCCCCAGGCGTGTGGGGAGGTCAGGGTGCCAACAGAGTGCAACCAATCTGGAGCCAGCTCTGGGCGTAAATGATTTGCAATCCCCACTGCCTAGACCGAGAACTCCATATGAGAAGTATGCGGCGTGCTGCGTTTACCTGCTATCCCAAAAACGTGTAAACTTCCTTGTGACGGAAGCCACAAACGACACCAAAGCTTGAAGCATGCAGGGCTTCGCAGTTTCTAGCCTTCACGATCTAGCACTCGCGCAGAGCTGGGTTTTTCTGAGGAGTGGCAGCCACCAGTCCTTTGAGCATTGTTACTCGAGCATCTTTCGGACGCGAGCATCAACATTCCAGGATTTGCATTTACGTCTTGATCCCAACAAGCTAGGGCATATGGTCGGGAATTCCTCAAACATGCGCAAGGCCCGCCTCCTGTTGGCTTCACCTACCACTTGGCAGCTTGGTCAGATGCCCCGAGCCTTCCAACAAGCGCCTTATGACACTTCAATACGGGCACGTCTAGCTCAGGTGAATCAGGAATCGAAATGACAAAGCTCGCTTCTTCAAATCTCGTCCTATCGTTCCGTGCTGGTGCTTGGTTTCTTCCTCCAACCGGTCAAGCAAGTCCACATATTCGTTATGACTCATGACTGCGTATGCCTCCCCCCCCCACGCTGCCGTTCCCGTCATCTCCCTGGAGCAGAGATCTGGAGGACTCGCTCAGGAGCCCCTTCCTGCGCATTACCCTCCATACGGCCTGTAGATGCCTCGAGGTCATCAGGGAACAGTTAGTCACTAGCCTAAGCTCTGTTTTGCTGTTCTGGCCACACCCCACAAAACCCACGGCCTATATATCCGAGGTAAACGAATTGGTCCAGTCACCGGTCACGCTGGACCAGTTCCCTTTGGATCTCGGGTGGCGCGGCTTTAAAGGAGCCAAAAGCTTGTAGCTGTCCAGTTTGGCTGTAGAGCCAGCCCCTCTGCTAACGTAGAAAGCACGTCTTTTTGGGTTTTGAGAAGCCCGGGTCAAGCCCTGAGGCTCGAGATACACTACTAGTATCCCGCGTGGCAGCAACAACACCATGTGCTCCGTTCCATGGTGGGACGACAAGGCGGGGTGTGCCTCTCACGCTGGAAAGGATGATGGCGTCTTGGAAGCTCTCGCTAATTGGGCAGGTGACGCTCCGCGAAAATGGTTCCTCATCGCCGGGGCGATGGATCCTCCGACCGGTAGTGGAGCCACATCCAGGGTCAGAAACAGTGGAGACTGTGGACAGAGGAGCGGGAAATTCCTTGAGGGCATTGAGTTAGACTTCCGCCACATGACCAGGGCCGTTGGACGCGACTTGTACAACAGAGTTCACGACATGAGGCTCAAGCTGCATGAGGCCAAGTCAAGGATTTGCGATTTCTTCGACGAGTGCAAGAAGCGGGAGTGCATCCCAATGCTGTATTACACTGGTCACGGCGCAGAAGGCTCTGGCAACTGGTGTTTCCAGGATGGGTGCCTAAGCTTCTCCGACGTCTGTGAGCTGCTGCCAGTCGGAACAGAACATCTGTGGATTCTCGCTGACTGTTGCTTCTCTGGCCACTGGGCGAATCAGGCCAGAAACATGTGCGACAAGAAAGTCGAAGTGGTTGCAGCAGTGCCATACTTCATGACCGCCCTTGACACCGAGCATGGCGGGGAATTCACGATGTACATCACCGGGAACAAGCGTGCCAACGACTTGAAACGGCCCGTTGTTTGCAGCACAAGGTCTGTCAAGGATTTCCCATTGCCGCCTCTGATTCGGTCGTACTCTTACACTCAGCGCATCAAGGGTGAAACCTCCTTCGGAAATCGGTTCGTGATGGCACAGCACTTTCATGAAGACTGCTGCTCGATGTTCTTTGCCAGGATCCCCGGCTACGATGCGGGCACGGGATCTGCAAAATGGTGCATAATGTCCACCTACAGCAGCCTCAGAACCTGGCTAGAAGAAGACTGCTGGTCTAAAGGGTTGAATGTTATGCATATCTCGTGCAGCGGCCATCGCTTCGGTGCCTACGCCTCACAGGGCTTTGGATCTAGGCAGCAGATCTTTGCTGGCACCTTTGAACATATCAAGAGTTGTTTCGAGAACAACAAGTGGAACGATGGATGGAGTATCACTTCTCTCTGTCCTGGAATTGAGCACGACTGGGTGGCCGTCGTCACCCAATGTCAAGGAGACTACCTCTACGGAGATTCCAAGGGTTCTCAGTCGCTCCGCAAGGCATCCAGCTGGGTGGAATTGAGGGCCCAGATTGGTGAGGAGTGGAAAGAACGGAGAAATATTACCAATCTCGCGGTTGCCAACGATACTTGGATACTGGCTGCTCAGGCGAGTCCTCGAAGCCAAAAGTATCGTAGGGGGCCGAAGGACGGCAGCTTCCCAAACGTCAGGCAACATTTCTGGGACAAAGGTTTCGATGTCACTCTGCTGCTGAAGGATCCATCTGACACCAGATGGCTCTTGTTTGGCACGGGGGGTCTCAAGGCCGTAAATCGCGGCTACTGCACACAAGTTGCACAGATTTAAAGTGACTGTTTGGGCGGGCAGGAGCCGTGTGGGAGAAGTCTCCCAGACTAGTGCAGTAGGGGTGTAGAGGGTTTCCGTATTAATATTTAGGTGGGTAATGGAAGTTCAAATTCCTTTGTCCATACCTGGGTTGACATGATAGGGACAGAAGATTTCTGGCTGCCCGCCTTTAATGTCCCCATCAGTCTGGATGGGCAAGTGTTCACATGTCCTGTGCGATGGCCGTGGTGCCTTGCAAAAGCCAAGAGCAACAAGTGGGGGTTTCTTGCTGTAAGGGTGAAGGTACTGAGGACTGGAATCTCAATAAAGGATCGCAGTAGTCCGGTTGCCGGATGTATTTTGAGAAACTCCCCAGGGCCTGTCATTGGCCAGCAGAGTTCGTTGCAGGTTGAGGGGCGCCTGCGACAAGCTGAACAAATGACGCTAACCTCCCACCCACGGCAAGGGAGTAAGCCTCTAGGACCACGAGCTTTAACGTCAGATCATGTTTTTGAATGCCAGCAGTTGCGCTGGGCTGTGCATTGCGGGTTGCTCATGCTGGAAGTGCAGTACTTGTAACGCTCCCTCTGGGCACTCTTCTTGGGCTCCTTACCCTGTGCCCGAAACCCTAAACCCTAAACCCTAAACCTTGCCTGCTGCGTGCGACTCTCACACCTGTGCCCGAAACTTGACACTGCGGATGCAGGTCGCCCTGCAGCTTCCCGCAACATGAGAGCACCAGCTTCACCGCCAGGACTTCGCGTTGGGATTCACTTCGTCACTCTTGAGGGTGATAAGGATGAAACCCTAAACCTAAACCTCTGAACCCTAAACGGGCCAGGGACGGTTGTGTAGCTGTTGGGTTCATTTACGTGATGAGTTCATGTTATGCTTAAACCCCAAGGCCTAGTACTAGCAGGAGGGAAAAGCCCCTATAATCCCTAAACCCTAAAACCTAAACCCCTAAGCCCCAAAAACCCTAAACCCCTAAGCCACACATCCGGCCCTGAGTCCTTTTTGGAAAAACGGTGTTCGAGTTGCGGCTTCAGGACTTCCGATTTATGGTTCAGGCTCGCGGATTCCCTGAGGGCCGGAAGGCGCCTAAACCCCAGGCCCCTAGACCAAGAGTCTAGGGTTTCGGTTTTAGGGTCTATAGCCAACTCCGGGCGAAGTGGAAAGCCTGTTGCAAAAACAAGGGTCTATAGCCAAGGTTCAGGGTTTAGGGTTTAGGCTTTAGGGGTTAGGGTCCTAAGATGTCATGCGATGTGCTGTCGCATCTGAACCTGAATCTGATTCATATCTTGGGCCAGTGAGCACTGCCCTGAAACGGCAAAGCCTACCTTTTTCTGGGGTCCCTGTAAATTTTACATTTGGGAGGTTTGGTAGTTCAACTGAGTTGCTTGTTTGCTTAGGTCGCACTGTCTTGAAACTCCCACCTTGTCGCAAATCTGCTGGTTTCGTTAGAGAATGGAGGAGATTTCGGGTTGTGTTAACGGTTTCCTTGAAGTTCTTTGTGCCGTGTGAGCCAATACCAGCGGGGATGCCTCCGTCTGCGCAGCAACGCAACCCTGCAGGAAAGGATCCCCCACTTACTTTCTCGAGCGGAAAGTTTATGATGTGGCGAATCCTGACAGTCGGACACTCACTAGCTCGCAGAAGCCTCAGTCAAGCCTTAGCTCTTGCGGGAGGCGACGCAGCAATGGAAAGCCCCACGGCCCGTAAAAATCGTAAACCCTAGACTCTGAGGTTCGCGTTGCGAGAGCGTAAACTCTGAGACTCAAGTTTGGAAGGACTCAGATCCAGCGCACCTCCTCCCTGCCGATCTTGCGGGAGCCGTTTCGCGCTGCGAGCGTCGATGCAGATGGTGCCCTGGGCAGGGGTTGGCGCAGATGTAGGGCAACTGCTCCAGAATTTTTGGGGGTCAAGAGTTCAAGCAGTTAGGTCTTTGTCTCCTAAATTCTGCTGCTTCTGTCTCCATAGACATTTCATGGCTTTGGCATTTGTCCTTCAGGATTTACGGAAACCAGGTCTCACAGGTTGAAGGTCGAGCTTCAGACTTTGTTTCATGCTCTGCATGAATATTTGTCGAACGAAGAAGATAAGAAGGTTTACTAAGTCAGCACCAGCTGCCGCCGACGAAGTTTGACGCAGTCGTCCGCCGTTCTCTGTACTTCGGCCTTGTTTGCGGTTCCGCGTGTTGCAGCTCTCCTCTTTTGCCTACACAGGTAGACCCTGAGCAGAATCCCAAGCTGGGCAGGTTGGTCGCCTCTAGGAGGATGGACTTTAAATTTTGCGGATATTGACACAATAGGTCTTTTAGTCTCATGGTCTTACTCAGGGGGTTTGAAGCTTTGCCAGAGCAGTCTCTCCTAGACCTCAACTTGGAGGATTCCAAAGTGTCGAGGTCTAAAGGCCCCAACCTTGTTGCACTTTTTGCGAGATGATGTAGGAGCCCGAATAACCGCAGATATATACTTCGCTTGGGTTCCATGTATAGCTGCCGTAATGAGACCCAAGCTGTTTTTTCTAGTCAGCTTGGCTTTTGCGTTACCCTGCCCTATCTGAACCCTAAGCCCAAATCATTTCAGTGCTGGGCCGTCTCGTCTCCAAGAAGAACTTAAACTCGGACTTTCAGTTTTGATCTGATGCAGAGGAGAGCCATAAGGCTTGAACCCATGTCCCAAACGCGAAGAGAACCAGTTTCCTACAGTGACCCTTTTCCCACACCTAAACCCTAAACCCTAAACCCTACAGTGACCCTAAACCCTAAACCCTAAACTTGCCCTAAACGCCTAGCACCCATTGCCAGGAGACTTGGACCTTTGCCCGGCGCCGTCGGAGACCTCAGCGCGGATTTGCGTGGATCCTGGGCTTTTTTGGTTTTGGGGCGAAGGCCAAAGGTGTGATAGGGTTCAATGACATTTCGGCATTCATGTCAGCTTTGATTTAGAATGTTTTTGAAATTAGTACAGTGGCTTGAGCAGGCCACTCCCACAACGGCTCTAAGCCATTAACTTGGCAAGCTCGCCCAACGGCTTTGTAAAACCTGGCGAGATCTCGAACCCTTACTTGCAAACATCGGGTGCTAAAGCAAAAATGCAAAAGCCTGTCGAACAAAAACACCCTAAACCCTAAACCCTAAACCCCTAAACCCTGAACCCTAAACCCTGAATCGTTCTAAACCCCTAAACCCTAAACCCTAAATCCTAAAGCGCCGAAGCCGAGGAGATGGAGATCAAGCTGCGCCACCCTGGTGGGGCCTGGCTTACGTCAGAGGTCGCCGCGAGTCTTAACCTGACCCCCTGCAAGTTCTCTGCTTAGGGGTTTAGGGGTTTAGGGGTTTAGGGTTTTAGGGTTTTAGGGTTTAGGGGGTTTAGGGGGTTTAGGGGGTTAGGGGGTTTAGGGGGTTNNGGGTTTAGGGTTTAGGGTTTGTGCTCAATGCTCAAAAAAGGGTTTGTGCTATTGCTATTGCCGACGATGAGGACAAGGATGCCCATGAAGACGTTGACGACATTTTAGCTAGTTCTCATGAGGATTTGATGTTTTTTTTTTTTGGTGCCGGTCTTGGTGACGGTGGTGTGACGAAGTGCCAAACCCTTTGCTCTGAATTTCTCTGAATGCAGTGTCGCCAGTCGTCACGATGTTCCAGCGTGTTGAAAGTCCGAAGCGCCACTGAGGAAACTACGCTGCCCGCTGGGCTGAGCCTTTGGGCTTCCGACGTGCGCTTGGCCGATGTGCCCCGGCAAGTGTGTGCTTGGGTGTGTGGAAGTTTTTCAGGGTTTTGGGGTTTGGTGAGAAAGAGTTTGTTTTTGAGTTTTGGGAAACCGGTAACCTTGCAGGACATTGAGGAGGTGTAGGTATAAGCTTCAAGGGTGGGAGGACTGCGGGTTTTGCATACTTTCGGCAGTTGTGAGGCATGGTGACTCCTGGGCGCTGAGCAGTAGATGTCGGCCATCTTCTGCACGAGACCACGGGAAACGGCCGAAGCTATCATAGCAAGGGCAGGTATTCCAAAAATTGGTCGCCATTTACGAAGAGGCCTCACCACCAGCCCGCCAGCCCCGTAAGTTCCCAAGAACCTCAGCTTCATGGATTCGGGCTCCAGTACTCGTACTTGACGTCGTACATCCGTCGACCGAACAAATGACCAACAACTTGAGGTCACTAACCCTGTCACAAGCCTCGGATACGCGATTGTCTGGTAATAGCTCGAGGCACGAGCGTGCAGCCCTCGAATCCAAAATTGTCGTACAGAATTACGACATTGCATTCCCGCGTTCAGAATTGGCTTTGGGCGGCCTTAACCAAATCCCCATTGTTTGCCTGTTTCTCTGCAGACCTTGCGTGGATTCGTCCGAGGTGTGAGCGAAAAACCCTGTAAGAGACGCTGAGCATGGGTTGGAAGATGCGAGTTTAATCCAAAACGGAGTTTGAATAATGTGTGTACACACATACATACACATTGACCAAAAAATTTTCGGATCCCTGGTGCTCTGTTGCCCGGACCTTTCTCCCGCTCCTCAAGACAAACGGGCATGCCTAGTTTTGTATGATTATTTTATTTACCATGCTTATTCTTGCACTCGCTGCTTCCATCCGAAAAATGGCAACCTTTTTCCTCGGCCCAAGGGGAGTTTTTGGTCCCTTGCCAGGTCCTCCTGGCACGGCCGACGTTGGCAAAAGGCCGAGTGGCGCCTGGGATCTCCAAGGGAAGTGTGAAGCGGTAGGGCCTTGAATTTCGGAGGTCGGTATACCTTGGGTGTGAGTATGGGGTATACCCGCACCACAACATCTACTACTTCAAGTGGGGTCATCTTCATGCGGAGCTTTGATTACTTGGTCAAGAGTATTCCTTTGTAGTCCATGTACATATAGTTATACCAGAGTAGGCCCCAACCTAAGGCTAAGGCCCCTTTGTTACGGACTCGAGAATCCTACTTTCTGCGGAAGGGGCACTTGTGTTTATCCAAGAACGTAGTTCAAAAAGACCAACGGTCACTGACGGATGCCCAGTCACAATC